CAGGGTTTGCCATGTTGCCCAGGCTGGTCTTGAATTCCCGGGCTCAAGAGATCCTAAAGTGCTGGGATTATAGGCATGAGCCACCATGCTCAGCAGTTAACATTTTTCATTAGGTATAAATCAAGAGTTAAAGATAGTGCTGGGCCGGTGCGGGAGGCCGGAGAATCACTTGAGCCCAGGAGTTTCAGGCTGCAGTGAGCTAAGATTGCACCACTGCAGTTCAGCCTCAGCAACAGAACAAGACTCTGTCTCTAAAAAATAGCAACAATAAAATAATAGTAAAGAGTCCAGGTGCGGTGGCTCACACCTGTAATCCCAGCACTTTGGGAGGTCGAGGAGGGCACATCACCTGAGGTCAGGAGTTCGAGACCAGCCTGACCAACATGGAGAAACCCCGTCTCTACCAAAAATACAAAATTAGCCGGGCATGGTGGCTCATGCCTGTAATTCCAGCTACTCAAGAGGCTGAGGCAGGAGAATCGCTTGAACCTGGGAGACGGAGGTTGTTGTAAGCCAAGATCACACCATTGCACTCCAGCCTGGACGACAAGAGTGAAACTCCATCTCAATAATAATAATAATAGTGTTGGGATGCTTGGGTTGAGGCAAGTGGGAAGAACCTTGTGTGGAGTCCGAGGAAATTACAAACCTGATTTGTGTAGAATGGTTGCCTGAAGAAAAGGAAATTTCCAAAGTGGAAGGCCTTCATTCTAGGCATATCTTAGAACATTCATAGAAAGACTTGGAATGAGTATGAAAGCAAAGTCATGTTTTACTTCAACACTTCAGGAGTAGAAAAACCACACCCACAGTCGACACTAAGGCACCTGGAAGATGGTGAACTTTCTGAACCTCCCCAGGTTTCAGGGAACTTGGGTTGGCAGTGGTTAACCTGCAAGAGGCTGTCTCCATCTACCCTCCTTGCTGGTCCTTTGACCAGGCCACTTCTCCATCCCCTGCCCCATGGGGTGGGAGAGGGGGAGTGGCAAACAGTGGTTTCTCATCAGCACCTGGAAGAGGTGCAAAGGGAAGCCTGAGCGGGGTTGGGGAACTGGAAATGACACTATTGAGGCAAGGGGAAGGGTGAGTGTGCAGGATTTTCTACTTCCGGCAATATCTGTATGGCAATGCACCCAGGGGCTTTAGAGTTACAGGGCCATGAAGAGGCCAGGAGCTCAACTTTCTTATGTAACTCCAAATATTTCTTCTTGCTTTGGCAATTTAGAGAAAGGATCCTCTTCCTGTAACGTGCGCCCAGCTTGCACAGACAAAGATTATTTCTACACACACACGGCCTGTGATGCCAACGGAGAGGTGGGTAGCACAGTCTTGGAGTCCCTTAGCCCCAGATGGACTGTCTCCCACTCCCTGAGCTTTGCCACCATTTGGAGCTTCAGTGGTCAATGACATTGGCGCCAGTTAAAACCCCACAGGCCTCCAAGGTGATCCTAGGGCTAGGTGGGGTGGGGGGGCAAAACGAGACCTCTTCATTCATTTTCCAGTCAGAAACTGTTTTTGCGGCATCTGTTTCACAGTTTATGCACGTATGTTCTGTTTCAAAAACCCACTTCACTCTCTCTTGCTTGGTTTCTTCTATTTGCCGAGACACTCCGGGCAGAACCTGCCTGTCCGTGCACAATGTCCTCCGGGGCTCTTCAGGCTCACCCGCTCGGCGCTGCTTTTGTGGGCTGGCAGTGGGAATGGATTCCTGCCTATGGTCTGACTTGTTCCGTTTCTGCTGCTTCTCTTTCCTCCAGGATTTCTGCTTCAGAAAAGAACTTTCCCTCCTCCTAGTCTACACTGTCACTGAGTCACAAGCACTTTTTGAGGCTGACTGATGTGTCAGGCCTGGCACTATAGGCCGGGGAGTCAGAAATGACTGAAACAAGCTCCTGCCCCCAGGGAGCTCGCCGTCCTGTATGGCAGGCTGCACAGAGGAGAAAAACGGGCCCAGTCAAGGCAACCAGAGGGATGTGCAGGGAACTGGGGGAGCCCAGAGGAGGAGCGACCAGGACGTGGGGTGGGGGCGGCAGAGAAAGTCTCTCAGAAGTGGCCATTTGCTCATCAGTCAACAAATATTTATCCAGGAGCAACTCTGTGCCAGGCACAGCGCAAGGTGCTAGGTGCTAGGTATGCATCACTTAACAAAACTGAGGGAGCATCTAGCCTTTACAGAGCTTAAGTCTTGTTGGGGAGGGAGTGGAGAGGGAGATAATAGACAACATATGCTGTATAATATAGCAAATGGTAGTAAGTGGTAGGAAGGAAAAAAATAAACCAGGATTAGAAGAGAGAATGACGAAGGGTGGTGCCGCTATTTTAGAAGGGTAGGGATGTCCTCTCTGAGGAGCTGACATTTGAGCAGAGACCTGAAGGAGATGAGGGAGGAGCCTGGAGCTTTCCAGGCAGCGGACACAGCAGGAGAGGAGGCGGTGGCTGGGCCTGGTGGGTGGAGGAACAGTGTAAGTGAGCGGGGAAGGGCTTGAGGGTGCACGGAGAAGGATCTGGCTGAGCTGTCTCTAAGCCAGAGATTCTCACGGGGATAGAACTAGGAGTTGGGAATTCTGTACTCAGCACTAAGCATGATGCTTGGCCCTTAGGATGCATAAACATTTGCTGACTGGGCGGCTGGCTGAATTCTCCCTTTCCTAACTAAGCATGGGTTAAAGTCTGGTCACTAACAATGAATATTTTGCATAGTCATCTCTTACCACCACCACCTCCCCCACATATTTGGGGCATCATCCCCTTCCCCAGCAGCCAAGAGAGAATGGCTGTGTCTTGTCAGTTGCACCTTAGACTCAGTTCTGTGGTGTCTGGAATTCTGTATGACCTTGTAAACATTATTTTCATTTTCTTGGTCTCAGCTGACTCACTAATAAAAGGCGGACAATTAATCCTGCTGCTCTTCTCCCTCCTGTTCATAACATGTGACTGAATGTGGCTGTCTTTCCTCCCTTCTGCCCCATTCTCTTCCCTCCCTGGGCTCACACCAAGGCCCTCTGGGTCAGTAGTGTGCTTGCTGCCTGCAAGCCCGGGTGTCTACCTTGGTCTGACCCCTGCCAGGGCCTTTAAATGCTGGCTCAGACCAAAGCCTGCGTTCCCGCCTTGCAGTACAGCCAAGGCCCAGCTCAGAGGAGGAGCACTGAAGCAAGTGCTTTCGGGAGTGCGCGTGAATATGCGTTCCCCAGCCATTCCTTGCAGACTTCTGCTTTGTGCCTCATTCCCGCACTGGCTCTGCTCAGTCTGGTGATTCAGTTTGTCTTCTGAACAGTCTTCTAAAATCAAGGGACACACCTTGAGCTGGCTCCTGTGATTATGTTTCTGACCTTGGCTGTGCCTCAGTTGTTTCTCAGGGACCAGGATGGCCCATCCATTGGGGCCACTGAATGTGCTGCTCCAAGAGCTGGCCTGAGTCAGTTTGCCAGCTCCTGGGACCCTCCTCTCCCTGAGAATCACAGGAGTCAGGTGAGGTTCAAACCTGGGGCTCTGGCTGCCGCAGCCCTTTGCAGGCAGCAGGCTGAGCTGAGCACGGGAAGGAGGAGCCCAGGGCTCCCCATCATTAAGGCACTCTGTGTCCCTCCTTCAGGACTTGTTTCTTATCTTGAAAAATATGGACAGAGGCCTTATTCATCCTTCTTTTTCACATGTATGGTATCTGCACAGATCATGTTCACCAACCCCTCAGTGCAACCCATAAGGGCACTTTTTTGTGTGTGACTCGATCTAAGGGCCATGTGGGAAGAATGGAGCTGCCCACCTTCACCCCTGCCTCAGCCGGAGTCTCCTGCGGGTCATCTCCACTTCTGCACCCAATGCAGGGGTCACATTTCATTCATCTCTGAGACACCAGATCTGGCACATAGATGCATTAGGCTTTCTTTAAACATTTACCCAATAAATAAAACAGCAAAGAATGCACCCCTCAAAAAATAAGTTGGGACATCTCTGCCACCTCCTCAGTCCCCAGGAGGCATCTGAGCCACCTCCACCCTGTGCCTTTCTGTGTTCTGGGATTTTCACCAGCTGCGCTTCCTGTGACCTTGGTAGAATAAGATTCTACAGTGGAATCGGAGCTTTCTCTAAGACAACTGGTCCCATATTCTGTGTCATAAAGTCTTCATTAGAGCTATTCCTTGTCACCCAGGCAACATTCATTTGGCAGATAGTGACTGAGCACAACCAGGAATCAGGCACTGCGCTAGGTGCTTGGGATACATCTGTGACCAACACAAAGTTCCCCACCCCGGGGGAGCTCTCATGTGGCCCAGAATCTGGATCTCTGCCCCCAACCCCTATCCTCAAGGCAGAGTCCCAGAGACATCCTAAATCTCACACAGGCTGAGTTGTGCTTAATCCATTTCTGCAGACACAGCTCATGTACAAATGGGCCAAGCCGAAAATCTGTAGCGAGGACCTTGAGGGGGCGGTGAAGCTGCCTGCCTCTGGTGTGAAGACCAGCTGCCCACCCTGCAACCCAGGCTTCTTCAAAACCAGCAACAGCACCTGCCAGCCCTGCCCATACGGTTCCTACTCCAATGGCTCAGGTAACCGCCTCACCACCCCACTCCCTGCAGCACACCCATCCCCACATCGACTGTGCGGGTGGGCTGCGTGGGCACTCAGAGTGGCCAGTTGAATGCAGACCCCGCCCTTCCAAGGGAGGCAGTAAGGACCAGGCCACCTCTGAGGACTAAATTCAGAAGAGAGGTCAGGGCTGGCCTCGTCTGCAGGTCAGAGTCAGACTTGAGGCTGCCTTCCTTCCTCCTCACTCCAACTGCAAATGTGACTCAGGCCTGAAAGTGCCCAATCCTCAAAGCAGAGCTTCCAGCATATGGCAGAGATGCTGACTAGAAGGCTTAAGGGGCTGGGATGACCAGCTCGACACAACCAAAACCTATAAGCCATGCTGCCTTGGGGTGATTGTGTACCTGTTAATATGAATGTATTTAATGATAATATGACAATAATATGAATTACATGTATCAGACTAGAGATACAGTTAAGGTTTGAAATGAAAATTGGGGTGGGCAAATAGGATGGTTGGCATATTGGAATGAAGGCTCAGTGTTTACATCTTGAGTTAGTTAAATACATTGTCAGAATGTTTTTGAGTCCACTTGGTACAACTTCCTGCAGCGGTGCTTAGCAGCCAGGCTTGTGGGCTGCCCACTACTGTTGGCACTTGTCTGTGTGGCAGCAGCTCCAGTCAGAGTGACTGCAGCCTTCCCGCTGAATGCATGGATCTTGTGGTTTCCCAGATTGTACCCACTGCCCTGCGGGGACTGAACCTGCTGTGGGATTTGAATACAAATGGTGGAACACGCTGCCCACAAACATGGAAACGACCGTTCTCAGTGGGATCAACTTCGAGTACAAGGGCATGACAGGTAATTGCCTCTCCCTGTGCCATGAGCTGTCAGCTCCCTGCACACCCTCAGTTCTTCCAACTTCACATTTCTTCATAATAGTGATGTCTGAGAAAAATAAGCTAACTATGTCATGCATTCCCTTGAAAGTTCCATTCCTCATGGACATATGTTCTGCCAAGACGGCTTTAGAGGAGGGAACAGAGCTAGAAACATGAGCGTGCACTTCAAAGGTCTTGCTCTGAGAGCTTCAGGGTCTTTGACCAAAGTGGCAGGATAAGTAACATGGTTCATATTCAGTGGTGGTTCTGGGCGCCTCAAAAGATGGTGTCAAACCTTCCTTCCAGAGTGTCATCTGGGTGCACATTTGCCTTGCACCCAAGAGCACAAGGCATTAACTCTTCCCTTTCCTTTTCAGGCTGGGAGGTGGCTGGTGATCACATTTACACAGTTGCTGGAGCCTCAGACAATGACTTCATGATTCTCACTCTGGTTGTGCCAGGATTTAGGTGAGGAATCCAAAGCACAGGGGAGTCCAGGCCAGCGTGGCCATATCCGATTCCCACGTATTTTGGAATCTTGTAGAGGAGAGGCCTTCTGGGGTTGTGTTTCATTTCATTTCAAATGTCAGTTGAGAACAGAGGGCACAGTCATATTTGACCAATGTAACCAAATGCTAATACGTTTTTCAAGTTGCTGTCCGTGTTGATTTACCAACCGCTCTCTCATCCCGTATAACTTCTCCCTCCATTAGCCACATGCTATTCCAATTTTTTCACCACACAGCATCACTTAAGATTAGAAAAAATAAAATAAAATAAAAAATAATACGGTCAGAAATGTCCATAGACAGTTCATCTTTATTTGGGGCAAGAAGATTGGGAAGGACTGTTCTTATTATATTTGTCCCCATATCCCAGGGCAACAGGAAAATTTGTTTCCCACTAAACAAACACACAAACACACCTCCTGGCAGTGTGGTATGGTGGAAGGAACACTGGACTGGAAGACAGGGCACATGTGCTGTGCCGTTTACTGGCTGTGCGACCTTGGGAAAAGTCACTTCACCTGTTCAGGCTTCGGGACCCTCATCCATAAAACCAGTGTGTGATTTAGGACTCACTGAGGTTGAGATGGTTTTTCTAGCCCACTGGTTAACACAACTGCGTAGACATAAGCTGAGAACTGGAGGTCCTCAGAATTCAGGAAATGGCTAAAGCCAAAAGGAAAGCCGTAAATGAATTTCTAAGGCCAAAGTGAACTCTTCTGCCCATATGTGCTTTAAGATAAGGGGCAGCCACTGAATGTGCTTCCCCAGTGCCAATCTGACGCCTTCATTCCCTCCTTCAAGGTCCCTGCTTCCCATCCCTGGGATGGTGCTCAGTTTGCCTTCCCTTACCATACATTACTCAGAGCTGGCCAGATAAAGCCTGTGTTTACAAGGCGAGCAAACTTTTTAGGCTTTTTGGAATAACACTCAAAAAGTACTTTCCAATTTGCAAATCTCATCATCACAGTACAGTGCTGCCTCATCCCCATTACCACCCCAGTCTGCCTGGGCATGGCTCTCTTTCCCAAAGGAGGACAAAACTGAGGACTTTGCTGGATCACAAATTCCGCTCCTTTAACCCCGGCAAATCTCCCCAGTGCTGGAGAGAGAGCTGCTGAGCAAGTGTCGACAATTTACAGTCTTAGGATAGAAGTGCTTCTCAAACTTAAATGTGCGCACGAATCACCTGGGAATCTATTAACATGCAGATTCCGATTCACTGGCCTGGGAGGAACCTGAGGTTCGGCAGTTCTAATAAACTTGGGGAGATGGCCGAGCTGCTGGTCTGTAGACCATATTCTGCTAGTGAGGTGATACAGCATTTTTAAAGGACCACCACATCTGTCATGCATTCAGGTCTCCCTGCAATGATGGCAGGTAGGTGAGAAAGATATTTCATCACCTCCATTTCACAGATGAGGAAACTGTGGTTTGGCTAGGTCAAGGTCACATAGCTAGGAGGGCACAATTGGATTTAGTCCACACACTTTCCATCATACTCAGAACCTTAACCCTGTCCCCCGGCAGACCCTTTGCTGTTGTCTGGGCTCTTCAGTAAGCACTGCCTGGCCTCTAGAACTGACTTTTAATTTCTGCCCTTATAGACCTCCGCAGTCGGTGATGGCAGACACAGAGAATAAAGAGGTGGCCAGAATCACATTTGTCTTTGAGACCCTCTGTTCTGTGAACTGTGAGCTCTACTTCATGGTGGTACGTTTTTCCTTTCTTTGCCCGCTAGAGGGCCTCCAGGGGAGGGTTACCCCGTCTGCCCCATTGGTGTGTCCACGTGACTGACACCCCCCTTGTAGTGATTCCACAGAGGAAAGGCCCAGACTGACCGGCAGGGACTTCACAGTTTAACAAGGGTCTCACCAACCGTGATGGCACCTGGGATGGCAGCCACATGGGCACCCACTTCCCCTCTGGCCATCGCACCCTCTTCACTTGTCTGTCCTGGGTTCAGGGTGTGAATTCTAGGACCAACACTCCCGTGGAGACGTGGAAAGGTTCCAAAGGCAAACAGTCCTATACCTACATCATTGAGGAGAACACGACCACGAGCTTCACCTGGGCCTTCCAGAGGACCACTTTTCATGAGGCAGTAAGTTCCTCCCCTTCCTCAGACCCTCAGCTCC